ATCTTTGGCTCCAGCCTGTCTGTGGTACCGATAGTGATTTTCCTCTCAGTACTGGTTGTGTCAGTCCCCCTGGGGCTCCGTGTGGTGGAATGTCCGGGAGGACATAGGGTGGAGGAAGGCCTTGCTCTGGGTTTGGGGGGTTGGGGTAGCTGGTAGTGTCCATGTCTCAGCCTTCCACTTCACAACCACCACTGCTAAGACACAGCTCTCGCCCCTGCTCCACTCTCTGCGCTGATCCCTGGGCTTGACTGTGTGGAGTTCACAGATCTGTCAGGCAGAACTTTTAGGGGAACCGGATGCAAATTCTCCCCTACCCCTCCTCATGCAGGAAACCCTGTCTGTGAGAGCCAGCTGCTTTGTTCTTCCCAGTCTACCCACCAGACTCCCTGCAGTTCTAACCTCTAGAAGCTCTGATGTCCAGATAACTCAGACATGCATGTGTGCAGGTTGGTTGTTACCTGTCTAGATGGTCAGCTTTTGTCAGCTTTCAACAGAAGAGATCTGGGGACATCCTTCACTTTGTTGCCATGCTCCTAATGTTCTCAGTAGTTGCCAGGATTTAAAAAGTCTTTATCCTCTATCTACATTCTAGAAAGATGTAGGTTATAAATTACACATAAGAGAGGTTACCAGCCATACTAGATAAAAAGGGCCTTGGTTGATACACTGAGTTAACCCATACCATATAAAAGAACAACCCTGTTAGTCTGATGCAGTCAGGAAAATTTGGGGTTAAGAAGGGTGTGCTTTTACATCTATGAAGGTTATTTCCATATACAGGACTATTAAATCAGAATTTATAGACGAAACAACTCAGAAGAAGAGAGGTTCAGAAACATATCAGCAAAATTGAAGATGCATGGAATTTCAAGGACTGTCCTCCAAAACACCACAAAAACTAGCATGTTGACCACATCAACTTTTATCAAAACTCTGGAAGCTACTCTTCAAATGCTGATTAGAAGAGCCACTGAGGTTTAGGAGAGTTTTGTGTCATTTTTTAATCACCCACTTCCCACTTCCCTCCCAGTGTAGCCTGTAGATGACAGCCCATATTCCCGGATCAGGAGGGAGCAGAGTGGACCTCATTCTGAAAGAAATATTTTTCTGTTAAACATTGTCTGTAATCTCTCTGAAAGACCAAGATCTAGTCTTTATCTTGCCTAATTCCAGACTCTTTCAGAACCAAATAGTGGCTACAAAGGGTGTTCTCCAAAAGACTGATCAGCAAATGAAGTCATTGTCATATGGGGCAAAAGATAAAAAGCAAGAAAAAAGTGTCAGAGCCTAGCAGGAAAATCTAGGGAATGGCAGACAGCTCTGAAAATATCCCACATATACAAGGGATCTAGAAAGCCACATACAGGTTCAAGGCTGGATGCACACTCATAAGT